GATCCCGCCCCCTGCACAAAGCAAGAAAGATAACTGGGGGTGGGTCACGTAACCCCAGCAAGGTGACTGTCTAGTCTCCTCTTGAAGATTTCCAGGGTAGGTGATTGCACCACCTTTGGAGGGAGCTTATTCCACAGTCTGGACACCCCGACTGTGAAGTTGTTCCTAATGTTGAGCCTGAATCGATCTTCCAGGAGTTTGTGGCCATTACTCCTGGCTTTCCCCTCAGGTGCCCTGTGAACAGTTGCTCACCGAGCCCTTGATGTACTCCCCTAGTGTAGCGGTAAGCTGACTTCTATACATCTAATTTTATTTAATTGGCCATACATCAATTTTACAGCAATAGTAGGAAGGCGATTATTCCTACTGTACTCATCCTCTGCTCTACCTGGCGTAGTTTTCCCCTTGGTCCCGTGAAAGACCGAAGCAAAGTAGTCACTCAGGAGTTTAGCTTTCTCCTGCGTGCTGGTAACCAGCTCTCCTGAGTTGTTGAACAACGACCCCGCACTCCCATTTGTTTTCCTCCTGTTCCCTGTGTACCTTTCATAGTTTCATAGTTTGTAGGGTTGGAAGGGACCTGAGCAGATCATCTAGTCCAGCCCCCTGGCATGGCAGGAAAGAGCACTGGGGTCAAACAACCCCAGCAAGGTGTTCATCTAGCCTCCTCTTAAAGACCCCCAGGGTAGGAGCCAGCACCACTTCCCTTGGAAGTTGGTTCCAGATCCTAGCCACCCTGACTGTGAAGTAGCGCTCCTGATATCTAGTCTGAATCTACTCTCTGCCAGCTTGTTACTGTTATTCCTTGATACTCCTGGTGGTGCTCGGGGGAACAGGGACTCCCCCAATGCCTGCTGGTCCCCCCTGACTAGTTTGTAAATGACCACTAGATCCCCCCTCACCCTTCTCTTGTGGAGGCTGAACAGGTTCAGGTCCCTTAGCCTCTCCTCGTAGAGCCTGCCCTGCTGCCCCCAGATCATGTGAGTGGCCCTCCTCTGGACCCTCTCCATGTTGTCCACATCCCTCCTGAAGTGCGGCACGCAGAACAGGACGCAGTACTCCAACTGCAGCCTAACCGGTGCCGCATAGAGGGGGAGGATCACCTCCTTGGATCTGCTTGAGATGCATCTGTAGATGCATGACAAAGTACGGTTGGCCTTCCTTACCGAGTCCCCACACTGTCGGCCCATGTTCATTTTGGCATCAATAATGACTCCAAGATCATTTTCTGCCTCTGTACTGATAAGAAGGGAGTTCTCCAGCCTGTAGGTATGCTGCTGGTTCTTCCTACCCAGGTGCAGCACTTTGCACTTGTCAGTGCTGAAACCCATCCTGTTCTCATCCGCCCACCCCTGTAACCTGTCTAGGTCCGATTGCAGCCTATTCCTCCCTTCTAGCG